ATTTCCTGAACTTCGAAGACCAGTATGTCACAAATTTTAGCTACTGGCATTCCAAGCGATCTTACTTCAGCACGAAATACTCCAAAAACGTATAATTGCATGGTCTGACCTAGTGCGCCTCATAAATAATTTAGAAAAAGGTTGAAACAGTGAGGGAAAGAAGGTGGTAGAGAATTGCTTAATCACGTATTCTTTTTAGGCGCCGGAGAGCGATGGTGGAAGTCTGGGAAGGTGAAGTTTCTTTTTTTTTTCTTTTTTGAATTTTCGTTATTTTAAAAGAGTTTTATAAGAAAAAACATCTGCATCCTAATATGCTCCAAAAAATCGCTCTTACTATTTAATTTAAGGTTAACTGGAGATTTTGTTAGAAAGTGTAGGAGTAGATGATAGAAAAGGTCTAAAAAGAGTAATAAGAGTAAAAAAAAGGGAAGATGTAAAAAGAAGGAGTAATAAATCAGGTAAAAAATGTTTCGGTCCATTAAGTCGTATACATTTCTTACCATTACCACAGTTGAACCTCGTCAGTACGACGACTGTGGCAACAATTTGATCCTTTGGACTTCCATCTTTAAGTACTCAAATTGTAGTTTTAGCTAATCCGCACTAATGGGTAATAAGTGATATCGGAAAAAGTTATACTCCTTGGCTGAAATCAGAAAGATGATGTTTTAAATAAGAATAGATTTATAAGCATGCAGTGGCGGGCTTATTCCTCAGTCGAACGATTCTGTTTGTTTACAGATTTACGGCGCCGGGCTCGTTTGCTTGAGAATCAAATCGATTTGAAATTGGTAGCACTGAACAAACTGACATCCGGAACATCAGGTACATATCCCAGCTGACATTAATTTCTTCCCAACTAACATCAAATTCCATCTGTTTTAACTATTCCTATGTTAAAAGAATGGAGGGTACGGTGAACTGATATATGAGATTATGTGGATCAGAGAGAGAGAGTTCAAATTTATCGATAGAAAAAAAGAAAAAAAAAAAACTTGACGATGGAACAGGTGATAATTTATCAAACTAAAAACGTTAAGAAAAACGATGATTTAGCCGGGATTTAGCTAGGATGATTTAGCTGGGATATAGCTAGAAGAGGGGGGGGGTTTAGCTGAGATTTAACTAGGATGATTTAGCTGGGACGTAGATGGGAGGATGAGGTCACCCTGAGCCTGCGTAGGCGCATTTTTCTGAAATACTGTAAAATTAACATGCGAGCTAGTACGGAATTGTGCTTTTTTTAAAATTTCGGTTAGTAGTTTTTAACTTTTTTCCCCTTTTGGCACTTCTGTCAACTTTTTTTTTGTCATTGCAACTTTTTTAAATCTCCTTGATTCAAAAGATGCCACTTTCTTCGTCCTGTCGGTTAATGAACTATCCCGGATCCCCGTAATCCTATTTTGAGTTCTTTACCTTCTCAAAGCTCATTTTACTTCGTATGGGTACCATTCAACACTGGAATAAAGCCAAGAATGGAACGAAAATTTGATTTGTTTAAAAAATCCGCCGGCGCAAAACTGGAGGATTTTAATGGGTTTCACTCCCCTCCCCCCTTTTCTAGCTTACCAATATCCAGTTGTGCTTTGAAAGCCAATGGAAAAGTCGGGAAAAATTATTTGAGTAAACTGCCTGGAAGGTATCACCAACTGGGCCGCCCGTAAGCCTATATTCGCAACTTGGAACTTCGAATTTTTCTTTCCTTTTCACTTTCTTCTGCACAACTCCTCGTTGTTTTCCTCTTGGGCTCCATATTCTTAGTTTTTGTCAAGATTATTGGACATATTCATTTTTGCTTGTAAATTTTTTTGTAATTTTGTTTTTTATAAATTTTGCAAAATTTGTAAAATAAAACAAAGAAAACAAAAATTTGTTGTGAATTGAACGTTCAGTGAACTTAACTTCTGTGGTAAATTGAAAGAATCGGATTTAATTGGCTTAACGGGTAGTTTATGGCAGAGCGATCTTCGTATGATTATAGTGCGGGATATTGCTACACTCAATGATTTTTTTTTATTTAAATATAGGCAGCCAATGATTTCAGGTCGTTACGAAACGCTGTTGAACGAAAAAGCAATTGTGAGCAGCAAACAGAAAGAATTCGATTCACTTTCTTCAGAATTAGAAGGCATGCTCGCTAAACTAACACAGATTGATGAGCAGGTTTCTCTTAAAATGTGATTTTTTCAAAAAAAAAAAACTTTCTATTTTCGTCACAGTTACAGTATTATGCAGATTTTGGTGAAAAAAAAGCGAGTTTTGGTTTACTTTCCCTTGAATCGCTCTTATTCGAGGTACAACACCATTCGCATGGTGTGAAAAAAATTTTTTTTTTTTTGGTTTTTTGTAACGTTGGTTGACCCAATTTTTTTGTCACCATTCGCATAGTGTGGAAATTTTTTTTTTTTTGTTCTCTGTAATGTTGGTTGGACCCAATTTTTTTTGTAGTTTTGATGTAATTCAACGCTTTTTAACAAATTTTTTTTGCTTTGCCCAGTTTTTTTTGCTTTTTGCACAGTCGGAGTCTTCTTGCTTGGATCAGCTAACTATGAAAACCCCTCTTCGCTCGCCCCGGATCTGACTGTGCCCTGTATTGCCATTACATCGCCGGCCATTGCACTCCAGTGCATCACTGGATCAACTTTCTGTTCCAGGCCTCCCGTTCTCTTTTAGTCTCCTTGCCAAGAATATTTACTGTTTGTTATTTTTTTAAAAAAAAAAATTTCTACAACACTTTGTATGTGGCGAATTCCTTCTCTTCTATTGGCTTTTCACATGAATTTTGTGAATTATACCAAAAATCTTTCGTTGTACACTCCTAAAAAAAAATTCACATGCCACAAAAGCTTGATTAGGTGTAATTTTGCAAAAAAAAGCAATGAAAAACTAAATTATTCATTTTTTTTTTAAAAATCTAAGTTAATTATGTATTTAAGATGACGCAGCATATTTCAAAATGCCAAGCAAATTCGAGGACCGGCGCATGGGCATCAGGTCCAGCGCTACAGCACACACTGCGAAGGCATCGCGAAATTTTGCGTGATTATTGCACCGAGTATCACAGATCACACGATAATATAAGGAGTCAGTTGGAGAGGCATGCTTTTTTTTTTCATCACAGATTCCATATTCTGTAGTTGAGGAGTCTTCTTTGAAATACACGGTCTGAGAGCTGTCATTTTTATGCGTTTTTGTTGTGCAGTACTATAGCGCTACTACAGCGAGCAAAAACACGTATTGTCGAGAGATCATCAGTGTGTATGTGTGTGTGTGTGCGTGTATGCGTGTGTGTGCGCGTGCGTGTGTGTGTGCGTGTGTGTGTGCGTACGTGTGTGTGTGCGTGTGTGCGTGCGTGCGTGTGTGTGTGTGTGTGTGTGTGTGTTCGGAAGCGAGCGAACTTTGTCACCCACTTTCATCTCAACAACCAGGAAAGTTGAGAGGCTGAAATTTCGGATACATTTTCTTACCCCATGTGTCATCCTCCCGTTTTAAAACTTCCGCTCATACGCGCCCTAGATCACACGTAAAAACCCCGCGCATATACTTTCGAACAAGAGCGCTCCGTGACTTTACCGGATTTTCCCACCAATGATCCGGGCTATCTTTCCACCCCTAACCACACCACCTCATACTCTCTGTGTTTACAGCTTAGGGATGAAACACAGACAGACTACCTTACATACTCCAGATACATGACCACTTTACATGTCAAAAGGTTTTGCCACATCGTCTTTATAACTCTTTTCCCCACTACCATATACTAATTCCCATCCTTTCTGCCTTAAATCACAGGGTATTCAGCCGTGCTGGATTTCCTTCGATTAGCATGATCCACTACTTCGTAAGATAAGCTTTTGCCTACAAATCCGGCGCAAAACACCACTTCATAGCTCCGAACTTCTTGTCAAATAGATTGCAGTTCCCAGGTCAGTCCTAGAAGGGCAGACAGTGGGGTGCACAAGCAAGAAAGAGTAGTGAAGTTTGGGGTTAAGAGCGAGCTAAGATGTTTCGGTCTATTGAGTCATATACGTCTTAACTCCACATTGCGACTGGACCTCGTCAGTGTGGCGGCCGCAATGCATAAGGAAGAAGAATGAAGAAAGAAGAGATGGAAGATAGGAAGAGAGTAAGGAAAGACGATTAAGCAGATAGAAAAGGCAGAAAGGTGGGACGGGGGAAAGTGAGAAAGATGGGAAGGGAGGAGGGGAGAGGTGGGAGGGGATGTTAAAGAAATGAGTAAAAAATTTTTTAAAAGGCCTACTCGCTTGACCGATTTTGGCCGGGCTTCTATCGCCCTTTCTGTTCATCCTGTTATCTTGTTAATCTCAATAACGCAAATTCTCGAATAATTTGTTTCAGGGAGAGTTTGTTGAGCGGAGGCTCAAATGAGAG